TGATGCTCAGCAATTCCAGTACACTTATGCTCCTTGGAATGCTTCTTACATGTGATTAAAGACTAATCCTATAGTTTTAAGAAGTGAAAAGATGGTCATAATCATCCACACTCCAGCTGCAAACATGACAACTGAGTGAGTTATTCCACCGTACCTGGTTCTGATGGACTGAGACTAAGTCTGATGATTGACACTATTCATAGGACTCAGCTGAATACACTTCTGTCTTCATAGCAATGGAGGGGCAAGCGCCTTGGCTCCTGAAAGCAAAATTTAGAAAAACGGGAATTGCCAATGGATGAGAATATTCCTATGATAAAATACTATAAAAGCCAAAAAAGCAACCAAAGAACTTACAGAAGAGATAAATAGAGTATACTGAAACAAAAGGACGGCTCAAAGTGGCTCCTACAGCTAGAATGGCTGGATAAAAGAGAAGATTGTTCAGCCTGTTTTTCCTCCAAAAATCCGCCATTTTACCACCACTTTGGGTGCGCGTTAATTAGAATCGCTTAAGTGCAAAAGGTCCATTGAACCAGAGACTTCTATCACTCTTGCCTTTCTGTGTAGAAGCAAGAAGTGCCATGAATGCTGCATCAATTTCTTGCTGATACATCAAGGTTTTTGTTGGTTACCTGGTATGGCTTGAAACTGTACTAAGTATTGTGCAAAATTCTTTGTACGAAAAATGGTGAAATCTGACCGATCTTCGGGATGATCGGTCACTCGTCTTTTCAACCACGTAACTTCTGCGCTAAACCTAGTAAGAGCTTGAAACTTGGAAGAACAAATGAGGCATTCCTGCTCTTTAAAATGATGTATAATAAAGAAAGTTTTGCAAGCTAGGAAAGTTTTTTTGAGTGTCCGAATATAGGTGGTGTCCGATCATTCATAAGGTACTCTAATTATTCATTGAACAACTTTGTATTCTACTATGGTGCTTTAATGATATGTAATGAAAACTTGACTGAGGTTGAGGTAGTTCTAAACATTAACAGTTACATTTGTATTCACAGTATGGAACTGTTGCAAAGAGAGCCTTGTTCAATCAGCAAGAATGTAAGCAAGTGTACCATTAGTGTATCTGATGGTATTGCCACTAAACAAGATCAAATGTGTATACTCACTAATTCAAACACCAATAGTAAAGATCCTTTAAATTATTCCACTACTACAACTGGCTTCAGCAACATAGCATCAATTGTAAGTTTTATATTTGGTGGAATTTTTTGTATTGTTCAGTGCAACTGGGATTACGTGATCATTTTACTTGAAGTATAACTGTAACTTTGCAAAAACATATTCCAATATTGTGCCTATAATTTATAATGAATATCTATCATTATTGTTATCAAAATAGATTCAGTATTTTACATAGTACATTTATATAAACTAAGGCAAACATTATAATTTTAATTTAAAAATTAAATCTATCATCACATTATTTTATAAAAAATAAATGTCACATAACTAAACTGTTGTATGAATAAGGATCGCTTTGTAACACTAAGTCATAAGCCACTATAGCAGCTATGTATTTAATGTTGTATTTAGATTCAGGAACTTGCTTACTTTGTTCATGCTATTTTTATTATTCATTTTGTTAATTGTGCATGCACTGAAGTTTTTTAAAGCATTAACAACAACAGTAATAACAATTGCATGGCAAGAACTAGATGCAAAAATCATTATTTCATATCTGTCATGAAATATTATTTTTAGAAAATGTAACAATTAAATTAAAAATTTACAATGTACTGTCACAGTAGCATAGTGATACAATAGCCTATACTCTACAATTTATTCACTCAAATTTGAATCAAATCCAGATCCACTTTCTTCTTCCTCTTCTTCATTGCCTTCATTTCTAATGCTTGGACATTCAAACTGTAGTTTAAATCCCATGCTTTGTGTTGAGTCCTTCTCACTCAAAAACAATAACAAGAAGTCTGATGTCTTGATGTGTCTGTTAGCAATAGAGTTTATATCATTACCAGTTATTGGCTGGTAGTGAGTA